TCTACCGCTGATGTCAGGGGCTTCTCATCCCTGAGGAGTCTTTGGAGTCACTTGTAGTTGGAGGCAAGTGTCAGAGATGGGTCGATGTCCATTCACAGTTGGGTGCCTTATAAGGTCCCTTCCAGTGAGATTGGAGAGTGTTTTTGTTTTGCTTTGTTTTGTTTTAATCATCCTCACCCGAGGACATTTTTTCCATATTTTGTTCAGAGAGAGAAACATTGATGTGAAAGGGACACATCGAGTGGCTGCCACCCACATGACCCACCCAGGGCCGGGGACGAATTGCAACCGAGGTACGTGCCCTTAGCGGGAACCGAACCCGGGTCTCTCTGGACCGCAGGCCGACGCTCTAACTGCTGAGCCAAACCGGCCAGGACTGGAGAGGGTCTTTTATTTGATGTTCTTTCCAATTAACAAAATCTCCAGGCGGCAGTCAATGATCTTTAAGATCTTTAAGTCTGTGTCTCCTGAGAGCTCGTTGTGAAAGGAAGTGGTCACACCCACTTGGCATTTTCTTGAAGTGATTTTATCAAATCTTGGCAATAGTGTAAGATGTCTCCTTTGAATAATGTCAGCTCATAAATTCCTTCAGCTCATTTAAGTCCAGCTTAAATGTACGGTGATGCATGAAGGAATGCAAACTGGGGTTCTCCAGCCAACGGGGAAGAACCGCGCAGCCACACTGGGTCCCTGTGACCCAGACCGCTCACTGCCTGTCGCCTGTTTCAGTGTCTCCGTGCAGTTTGACATTTAAAAAAGAACAAGTCTTTGGAGGTGTTGCAGGGCCCTTCTGGAGCACCACAAACTTATTCCTACACTTAAGAGATTTCTAACCTTTATAACTTCAATTTCTAATGAAAATTAGGTAGTCAAATTTATGGAGACAGTTTATAACCTCTAAAAACATATTTTATAGATGTCAAAGTCAATTATTGAATTATTTTTGTAAAATGGGGTAAGTATAAATATTCTATGTAATATCAAGAGCCTGAAAGACATTTCTGTTCTACTTAAACCAACAAAATTTAACTTTATTTACTAAAGTGTAATTTTAGGTCACATGAACTTGAAAAGCTTTTGGGTTGTTTCTGTATTTCTGAGAATTTTAGACTACCCAATCATTACAAGCACTTGCCTTCACAATCAGTTAATTTTAATGTGTTAAATTAATTGTAACACTGTCATCCAAAGGTAGAGATTTTCTCAGACTTACAATGTAGATACATAGAAACACAAAGAGACTTTTCAGCCAAGAAAAACTAGCCAGTTTTAAAAGAGCAGTTGGATCCACGTTCTGTTTTGGCAGTTTGTATAAGAAGACACTTAAAAGGTGTATCTGTCCTTGATAAGTGCAGTTCCAAATAACCTCCCCCCTTTTAAAATAAGGACATGCACCCAAGTGAAACAAGCCAAACAGAGAAAGACAAGTATCATATGATCTCACTTATTTGTGGAGTATAATGAACATAACAGTCTGAGGAATGGGGTAGTCCCAGAGATGTGGAAGTGGGGTACAGACTGACAGTCCCCAGAAGAGGGGGTGGGGGGGAGGGATAAACCACAGAACTTATATGCGTGTGTGCATGAACAGTGGACACGGACAACAAACTGGGGACAGGGCAGGGAGGGAGGGGGAGGGGGAAAAGGAGAAACATCTGTAACAAAAAGTAATTAATAAAAATAAATAAAAAAATAAAATTAGGACATGCATTTTAAAGAATTGTGTCAGCACCTAAACTATGTCAAAGGTCGATTTGTTTACAAATCTTCTTTTTGAAGCTTTGAGAGACCAGTGAAATGTTCTCACTTCTTTCTGCCAAGTCTCACCGCACCTCTTCTGCTTGTGCGTGGACGTGACTGGAAGGACGGGTCCTGCAGGAGCACCCGTGGGAGCTGCCGGTCTTGGAGGCACAATCTCCCGTGTTAATTTTAGTTTCCCTTTGAGGTCTGTCTGAACAAACTCCTGGGGGAACCAGGCTTTGTGGGCGCCCGTCTCTGGAGGAGCGGATGTGGGGCTACAGGACTGCGTCAGGCCCCAGAGGCAGTGTGTCCCCAGGGATTCTGTCACCTGAGATTCCTTGGACTCAGGTGGGGAAGCACATGTCCTTTGTCTTTGGAGCTAACGGGAGTCCAGTCTCTCATTTAACCAACAAAAATTTTGTTCAGATTCTCAGCAATCCAATTTTTTTTAAAAAAATTAACACACTGAGTGAGGCCTCAGTAAGTAGTCGATTTTGCAGGAAAAAAATTAAAAGCAGCAGTACATTTCCCCTCCTTTGCCACCTCAGGAATTTTCTAAGAACAGCTCGAGGTGAGGACCTGGTCCCTGAAGCAGGGAGGTTGGGGTTTCAAGAGAAAGCTCATCAAGTCCACCCAGTGTGAAGTGGGGAGCCAGGGGGGACACAGGCCCCTGTGGGTGCTTAGTACCAGGTGTGGGTCTGCAGGGTGGTCCTGGGGGGGGCTTCAGAATCCTGCCGACGATACCAGTAAATGCTGATGTGAGAAACGTCTAAACCTGTAGAGAATTTTTCTAAGTGTTTATTTGAGCCAAACTATTGACATGCTGAGAAGTAAGACCTCATATGCTCCCGAGAATAACGGTTTTGCAGCTTTCATGCATTTGGAATTAAGGAGGGAACAGGAGGAAGACTGCATGGATTTGGGAGGAAACAAGATACAGGACAGGTAACAAGCTTATGTGCTTCTGAGGATGGTCACCTCTCGGGCTCTGGAAAAGACCTTTCGGACAGGGCTCGCTTACGGCAAAACAACTCTCTGAAAGGCCAGCATGTCTGCCCACCATGAGCTGCCTCGCTGGGAATTTATGATCAGATCACCCTGTGAGGTTACTTTTTTTTTTTTAAGATAGAGTAGGAGGGAGGGAGGGAGAGAGAAAAACATCAGTGTGAGAGAGACCCATCAACTGGTTGCCTCCCAGACCACCCCGACTGGGGCCGGGGATCGAACCGCAACTCTCTGGTCTGCGGTCAGGTGTCTCAGGGAGGGCGATGCTCTAACTGCTGAGCCAAACTGCCCAGGGCCCGTGAGGGTACTTTCAGCTACACGTACTGCAGAATCCCTAGCCCCTTCTGTGGCTCTAACCCTACCTCCCTGCTCCAGGGCCCCTTCCCTTCCCTAACCCTCCTTCGAGTCTCACCCAGGAGTCCGTGAACAGTCTCACATTCTGCACTTGGCAGTGTGGCCCTGTTCGTCCCTGTGACAAGTAGGGGCAGTGGAAGGGGGTAAACCTGTTGGCCCTGAGGCTGCTAAATGCAAGGGGTTCCCATTGGTCTGCAAACGGAACCTTGAGGAAGGACCACTGCCTGGGTGGGGCCTGGGTGCCGCCTCTGCCAGTACTGGGCCCAGGGGTTTGAAAGGCTGAGGGATGCTGTGCAGACGGCAGTGGTGAGGCACAGCCAGAGGGGCCCCCGGAGCTGTGTGAGGGGCGTCTTGTGTGTGCTGAGCGCAGTCTGCGTGGGAGCTGGTGTCAGCTGAGGTCACGAGTTCGGGGTGAGTAGGTCAGCCCCCCAGTCCTCCGACGTGGGGCCTGGGACTCAAGAATGTGCACGCGTCCTGGGGTGCAGGGTAGTGAGCTGGGGGGGAGCACCTGGCTCAGGAGCCCCCGACATGGGCGCTCGTCCTGATGCACCTACTCGGGGCCTGTGCCGCAGGCGGGTGGGTGGCCTTCACAGCCGCCCGAGGCCCAAGCCCGCAGTCAGGTTCTCGGTGGGTGACGGGCCTCCTCCCTGTGTCCCTGTGCGTCTGACCTCTCCTCCTACGGGTTCCCGTCACACTGGCTGCAGCGGCCTCATCTTCACTCAGTTGTCTCCTGCAGACCCACCTTCAAGTGAAGAGTGTTCTGGAGGACTGCGGTCAGGGCTCCACGCGCGCACCTGGGGGCACAGCTCAGCCTGCAGCAAACACCGGCGCAGGGTGTGGCTCCTGAGCGTGTGCAGTGAAGAGTCGCTTTTATTCATCGTGTTTTAGAAAGTGCGGGAGTCCGTGGTTGAGTTGATGCAGAGGGAGGACCCGTCCAGTCAGTAGGGGGTGCTCCCGAGCACCAGCCTGTGCAGGTCCTGCCTGGGCGTGGGCGCCATCCGTGGACCGAGGGCTGGCCCTCTGTCCGCACCAGCTGACGGGTCTGCACAGAAGATGGACAGTGAGCGGCACAGTCTGCAAAGTGTCGGATGTCAGGGGGCGTTTGCGGGAGAAGGAGCCTGAGAGGGGCCTCGGGAAGGTGCAGAGTCTTCACAGCCTCGGCCCATGTAGGGGTGTAGAGCCCACTAGTGTGGTGGGCTGCCTCTTGGCCGTCACCCCTCCTACCTCCTGGAGCCCCGAAATGCCCTGGGTTCTGGTTTTCTCCTCACGGTTACCGGAAAGGGGACCTGGCCCTTGGTGGGTCTGCCTAGGGCCCGCCAGTAGTGTGTGGGTCCTTGATTTAGTGAAGGAAAGATTTCAGTAAACGAGTCCAGATAACCTTCAGAGGACGTCATCAAAGCCGGGGACAGTGGGACAGGAAAGGCTGGGCAGTGAGCCCGGGCTGGGCTGCTCCGGTCACTGAGGGGTCAGAGAGAAGGGGCCTTGGGGCAGGCTCGGGGGATCTGTCTGGGATGAGCTGCTGCCCCGGGTACAGGGTTTGTGGGCAAAGCGGGGCTGCCCCCAGAGGGAGGGCACACGCTGGGCCCTCTGTCTGTCTCAGACGGGAGTCTCGGGAGGGTTTCGGCAGAATTCTGTCGTCAGTCTCCAGTGCCCCTTCAGGGTTGCGGTCCTCGCGGGTCGGGCAGCGCCGGGCAGGGCAGTGCAGCTGGCCCTGCGTCACCTCCTGGTTCTGCTGCTTTTCTGGGCCTGGAGCTGAAACACAGCTGAGGCCCCTGTCTCCAGGGAGGGGCCTGCATCCGCTGTGACTGCTCTGCCGCCGTCCCCTGTCCCGTGCCCCCTGCCCCCTGCCCTGCCCACCCGGCCCGTCTCACAGGAGGCCCCTCTCCTCTCTCCTGCAGTGTGGAGGGCGAGGCCCCGGCCAGCGAGACCTGCACGTCGCTGGACCGCCCCTCGGCCTATCGCCAGGACCCCTCAGCACCCGGCTCCGGCCTGAGCCCGGACCACTACGAGCACACGCCTGGGGGCCCCTATGGGCTGTACGCCGGGCCGCTGGGGCAGCAGCAACGCGCGCGGAGGCCCAAGCTGCAGCACTCGGCCTCCATCCTGCGCAAGCAGGCCGAGGAGGAGGCCATCAAGCGGTCACGCTCCCTCTCCGAGAGCTATGAGCTCTCCTCCGACCTGCAGGACAAGCAGGTAGGCGGCGGCCTCTTTGCCAGGGGGCGGGCGGGCGGCTCAGGTGCTCCCTGAGCGAGGGCATCGCTGGGCTGTGGAGGGAGCAGCTTGCTTCATGCCGGTGCTCTGCCCTCTGACCCCTGACCCCTGAGCGTGGGCAGCCTACGGGGAGCAGCTCTTCCTCTGAAAATAACTGAGACCCACCCAGCCAGCGGGGACCCCAGTTCCGACCCAGCCAGCGGGGACCCCAGTTCCGACCCAGCATTCCTGTGGGAAATGCCCTCCTCGGGCCTCACACCTGCGTGCAGAGCTAGCTGGCACCCCGCCTGGGGGCTCCGGGAGGGACTGCAGCACCCCCTGGGGGGCAGGGGGCACTGCGGGGCAGAGGGCTCTCACCGGCAGCCCTCGGGGTCTGGACACACAGCACCTGAAGGAGGGTTCGAGTGTGAACCTCCCAGGCGGCCCGGAAGCAGCCGTGCACGCCGCTGGGGCGCTGACGCTCCCTCGCTCCCGGGCAGCACCCGGCACCGGCCTGGCACCAGGACGCTGGTTCCCCAGACACCAGGCTGCAGGCCCCCACCTGCCCCTCACCTGCCTGCCCTCTGTCGGCTCCCGTCTCTCTGTCTGTCTCCTTTGGAGCAGGCCTGGGCCTGGTGTGGCTCTGACTTCTCCGGGGAGAGAGCGGTGTGGGCACTGCCCACGGTGGGTCTCTCCCCACCAGCACCTCCTCTCCACTCTCAGTGTTGCCCTCTGACCTTGGACAGCCCTGCGACCTCAGCCCTGACCTTGCTCACCCTACTTCCTGTGATGATCCTGAGAGGCCAGGTGGCCAGTGACCAGCCCACAGCACAGGGCCCCTCTAGATCCGAAGTGGATCAGAAACAGTTTGTAGTAAAGGGCCAGGCAGCAGCAGAACTGGGCGATTGGGGGGCACCTGCAGGGTGTGGCGTGAGCAGCCCACCCCGGCTGACTGGGCCTGGCTAGGCCTTGAAAAGTGGGTTTGCGGCACCCGTTCCCCCCTGAGACAGCTGCTCCGCCCAGCTTGCTGCCCCCTCTCCGTGGACCCCAGAGCTGGCATCCCTGAGAGGGGCGGCTCATGGAGCTGGGCACACTCTTGCTTTCCAGAGAGGTGACCAGGCCACCAGCTGGCCAGCGAGGGACCAGCACCCGTTCTGGGGTGTGAGGCCGTGAGCCTTTCCCAGCCCACAGGGGCTCTGAGCAGCCCTCCCCTGACTCCAGCATCCGCTTGGCCTCACCTCGGTGACATCTGTGCCCGTCTGTCTGTGGTGCATGCTCAGTGCTGCGGCTTTTATCTTATGTGTTTTTATTGATGTTTAGAGAAGAAGGGAGAGAGAGAGGAAGGGAAACATTGACAGGAGAGCAGAACCTCACTCAGCTGCCTCCTGCACAGACACACACACGCACACACACACGCACATGCGCACACAGCTGCCTCCTGTACACACATGCACACACATACACATGCACACACACACAGAGCTGCCTCCTGTGCACACATGCACACGCACACACACACGCACATGCACACACAGCTGCCTCCTGTACATACACACACAGCCACGACCCAGGTGTGTGCCCTCACCAGGAATGGAACCGTCACCTTCTGGTGCATGGGATGACGCTCGGCCAACTGAGGCGCAGGACAACTCTGCTTCCTGAGAGCAAGGGCCTGTCTGTCTGTGCTGCCAGCTCTGGCCTGGTGCCCTGGACAGGCAGGCGGGACCTCGGTGGCAGCTGCTCTGCTCCCCTAGCAGGGTGACTTGTTCCTGCTGGTCTGGGCGCAGTCTTGGCTCCCCACCCAGCAGGCTCAGCCCAGGTGTCCATGTGTCTCATGCAGGATGAGGAGCAGCCCCAGGGCTTCAGGACGCCATGTGTCACTCTGGGGAGTCCTGTCCCTCTCGCCGGCCTGCAGCCCCATCTCCAGACTCAGGGCCGGCAGGCCTGGTGCAGGCAGTGAGCGCAGTCCCGACTGTGCAGGGAGGGGACGGCCCATCGTCTGTCAGCACCTTCCAGGGACACACGTGGGGCCTTCAGCCCCAGCCATCCCTGTGCTGGGCACGCGCTGACCACTCTCCTCAGTTCCATCGCGTGATCAGTCAGCACAGTCGGGGAGCAGGGCCAGGGTTAGAACCTAGGCATCTGGCCTTGAAACGCCCCCCAGCATGACGACTCTCTGGGGCTCCCTAAAGTGGAGCGACCCCCCTGCCAGCAAGAGCTGCCGGTGCCGGAGAAGGCGGAGCCAGTGCCAGAGGCTCAGTGCCAGGGTCTCGCGAGGCCTCGGCCGGCCTTGCCGTCTGCACACTCAGGCCTCCTCTGCAGGGGCTGCCTCCCCGCTCCCAGCACCCCCGGGCGTGTTAAACTGCTCACCACGGGGTGCGCGAGGCCAAGGCTCCTGGGCCAGGCAGCTGAGAAATCACCACCTTCGAAAGGTTGAGAAGTCCTGTAGGGAACACACTCGTTTTCACTTTACGGGGGCTTCTCCACCCTGTTCGACCTTGGACCCAGGTTTCGCACATCTGCTCGCCCAGAGGTTGGGATAAGCAGCTCTGGGCTGTGCTGAGTCTTCCAGAGGGTCCCCCTGAGGGCTGGGGGGTGACGGGTGGTGGGCCGCAGCCTCAGGGAAGCCTTCCCTCTCCTCCCCGCAGGTGGAGATGCTAGAGCGGAAGTATGGGGGGCGCCTCCTGACCCGCCATGCGGCCCGCACCATCCAGACAGCCTTCCGCCAGTACCAGATGAACAAGAACTTCGAGCGCCTGCGCAGCTCCATGTCGGAGAACCGCATGTCCCGCCGGATCGTGCTGTCCAACATGCGGATGCAGTTCTCCTTCGAGGGGCCCGAGAAGATGCACAGGTCCCTGTTTGAAGGGGAGCAGGTCTCAGTGACGGACGACGGCTCTCAGCTGGGGACCCTGGTGCCCTCTGAGCGCAGTGACTTTGGGGAGCCGCCGGCCCTCCGGTCTGCAGCCCCGCCCAGTGACTTTGCAGATGCTATCACTGAGCTGGAAGACGCCTTCTCCCGGCAGGTGAAATCACTGGCCGAGTCCATCGACGACGCCCTTAACTGCCGCAGCCTTCATGCTGAGGAGGCCCCAGCCCCCGACACGGGGCGAGCCCGGGACCCCGAGCCCCAGGCGGCCCTGCACGCTGTGGACCACCACAAACTAGACGAGATGACAGCTTCCTACAGCGACGTCACCCTGTACATCGACGAGGAGGAGCTGTCCCCACCCCTGCCCCTCTCCCAGGCGGGGTGCCGGCCATCCAGCGCTGAGCTAGACCTGCCGCTGCGGGCTGGGGGTGCCGCCCAGGACTACTGGGTGCTGGCGCACAAGGACGACAAGGGGGACACGGACCGGAGCTGCCAGAGCACACCCTCGCTGGAGCAGCAGGAGCAGCGGCTGCGGGCGGAGCACCTCCCTCTGCTCACCATCCAGCCGCCCAGTGACAGCTCCGTGGACCTCAGCGACCGCTCGGACCGTGGCTCCCTCAAGAGGCAGAGCGCCTACGAGCGCAGCCTTGGTGGGCAGCAGGGCAGCCCCAAGCACGGGCCCCACAGTGGCCCCCCTAAGGGCCTGCCCAGGGAGGAGCCAGAGTTGCGGCCCCGGCCTGCCAGGCCCCTCGATGGCCACCTGGCCATCAATGGCTCAGCCAACAGGCAGAGCAGGTCGGAGTCAGACTACTCAGACGGGGACAACGACAGCATCAACAGCACCTCCAACTCCAACGACACCATCAACTGCAGCTCCGAGTCGTCCTCCCGCGACAGCCTGCGGGAGCAGACGCTCAGCAAGCAGACCTACCACAAGGAGACCCGCAACAGCTGGGACTCGCCCGCCTTCAGCAACGACGTCATCCGCAAGAGGCACTATCGCATCGGCCTCAACCTCTTCAACAAGTGAGTGGCTGCCCTGCAGGGAAGAGGCGGGCGGGCCGTGGACGACCCTGGCCAGGGCCTCTGTGAGCCTGGGCACGGCCAGTGCAGCTGGTGGCGGAGGCCGGAGCCGGAGCCGCGCTGTGGGAGAGCAGGCACTGGCGACCGAGCGGCCAAGGGGCTGTGTGAGCGGCACAGTGAGCGGTGCACAGGGCCAGGGGCTCGGGAAAGGCTGGCGCAGTGTGGGCGCCACGCCTGGCTGTGGGCAGCGGCTCCAGGGTTTGGATGTTTTTCTTGGGTGCTGTGGAGCGTGAAGATAGGAGCAAGGGTGTGGAGGCAGGTCGGAAGGAGGACACAGATAACTGCTAGCATAGGGCTGCGCCAGCGTGGGCCCTGGGGAGGCTGTGAGCTGGTCTGGGGAGCGGCCACTGTGGCTCTGGAAAGGGGTCTGGGCCGTCCTGAGGGCAGGACTCAGGACAGCCTGGTACTTAAAAGCAGCCTCTTCTTAGCTCTGCCAGAAGCAGCAGGCAAAGAGGGGAGGGCTAGACACTCCCTGGGGGCGGACATGGCAGATTGCCCATCATTTCCTTCCACGGACGTCCAGGGTCCGGGGTCACCAGACACCAGCCTGGTTCTGAGCCCTTCAGGACCAAGCCTGCCTGCCGGCCCCGGATGCACACTCACTGCGCCTCCCGGTGCTGTCGCTGCGGGTGAGAGGCCTGTCCTGCCCCGAGATGGGGAGAGGCAGCTACGTTCCTCTGGGCCGTCGGGGTCTGCAGCTCAGCGTCCTGGACACCTGACATCTGCATGGGGGCTCTTTCCTGAGACCCCTCTGCCTGTGGTGTGCTGCACGAAAGGACCAGCCCGCCCTGTGCGCTGTGGCCAGACAGCTCGCTGGACAGGGCAGGTCTTGACCCCGGAGCCCGTCCTAAGCTGTGTCCAAAGAGTCTGCCCCCTGCTCCAGGCGCAGCTGCTGGATCCACATAGACCAGGGCTGTGCCCTCCAGGGGCTGAGATGACCCGAGCCGCCCGCATCCGAGCTCCCTCAGCCCTGGCAGACGCTGCTGACGTGGGTCCCAGCTGAGTGGACAGGTGGAGGCCAGAAAAAACCTTCCCCCTCAGCCACCCCGTGGATTGTCTCCACCTCTGTTAGCTTATTCTTTGTTTTGTTCTGTTGTTTACTTTTTTATTGAATTTGTTGGCATCGTCATGGGAAAGAGGACCTGGCCCTGGGTGAGTCTGCCTGGGGCCAGCGGGCAGTGTGTGGGCACTTGATGTTGTGCAGAGACATTTCACAACACGAGTCCAGGTGAATGTCAGAGGACATTACTAAAGCTGGGGTCAGTGAGACGGGAAGGGCTGGGCAGTGAGCCCAGGCTGGGCTGCTCCGGGTCACTGAGAAGTCAGAGAGGAGGGGGCAGGCTCGGGGGGGTGTCAGGTGAACCTGCTGCCCAGTGCTGCCCTGGAGTTCGGAGTCGTGCCTGTGGAGACAGGAGGTGTGGGCACACTCCCGGGAAGGCTGGGGGTCTCGGGAGGGTTTCAGTAGGTGGCCCGTCGCTCTGGGCTGATGCACCCGGGGGGGATGTATTCCCTTAACCTCGTGGGTCCTGGTGTGGCTGCAAAGGGCGCTGGTGGATTTCTGCCTCCGTCCCTGAGCAGGTGGCTTCAGCTATTCACCCCCCGGCTGGGGAGAGGTGTCGGCCATTCCCTCTCGTGTCCCTAGTGTAGGGAAGAGAGGAGGTACTAGGGGTGCACACTGCTCTTTAACTGTCTGCCTCAGTTTCCCTATTTTACTTGTCTTGGCTCACTGGCCTGTCTCAGCATTATAAGACTGTGTAGGTTGCAGGGGACAGTTCTATAGTATATCCTGTGTTCACCATTCCGAGTCAAGTCTCCTCCATCACCATTTATCCCCATCCACCCCCCCTTTACCTCTCTTAGTTGTAATTACACGTGTGGCAGGTGACTGGTCTCCAGAGACCAGGAAAGCCTTCCGCGGGGGTAACATCCCCTTTGACCCATCATGCTGGGGCCTCCCCTCCCAGACCTGCTCTGTGGTGTGCGCTCTGAGGAGCCGCCGCCCACTGCGTTCAGGACAGAGCTCTGGGCAGACTGCCTGGTTCGGCCTGGCCCTTCTACTTCTGAGTGTCCTGGGCCTGCAGCCCTGTCCGCAGTGGCCTTCTCTGCAGTGGGCTGAGGCCAGCAGTGCCTCTCAGGCTGTGAGGAGGAAGCGAGGGGATGTGTGAGTTCTCAGAGCAGCTCCCGGCCGAGTCAGACCTGCCCGAGGATCAGCTGCTGCTCCCATGGGCTGCGGACGTCTGGCCTGCAGACGGGTCGTCTCACTGAGACACGGGCCGTGGTTTGGAGATCTGTCCACGCCATGGGCCTCCTCCTTCCTGCTTGAAGCTGTGCAGGCCATGCACGCTTGTCCGTATCTGTGTGGCCAGCTGCTCTCACCTTCTCACGGTGCCGATGCGCGGGCGGCACGTGTAATCTGCTCTGCGCACACTCCCGTGTCCGGGGAGATAGCTGGAGGTGGCGCTGTCCGGGCGGAGGCCTCTGCTTATTGACGTAGGGGCGCAGTTTGTAGGAGCTGACCCTGTGCTGTCGGAGGGGGCCTGGGCATTCCTTCCCCCACGTGCGAGTCCACACGTGTGTCCTTCCCCCTCCCACCCGATCCAAGGACACAGACAGTCTCTGGTTGTTTTCAAGTGCATTTCGCAGCTGACTTCTGAGGCGAGGCCTCTAGGTGTGTCTGGGCTGTTTGGGTTTTCTCTTCTATAAAGCGTCTGTTCTTGTTTGTGCCCATTTTTCTATTAGATTGTTTGTTGTTTAGATTTAACCAGAAGTTCTTCATGTTTTGTCGACATGAATCCTTTGTAAACACAGGTTTTTCTTCCTGTCTTTTGTCTTTTCTTTTTCTCTTGAGCTATAACTCACGCACCACTCAGTTCACCCTCATGAAGGGCAGTGTGTTGTTTTGTGATATACGACTTCTAACTTTGTTAATGGTCTCCTGTCCAATGTACATTTTTAATTTTTTTTGCACTTTTAAGGGAAGTATAATGGGCATGTAACATTGTATTAGTTTCCGTTCCACAACTTCACATTTGATACTTGTTTACACTGGGAAACATCACCCTGATGAGTCTGGGCAACGTTGTCTCCACATGTAGTTAGTTTCTCTTCTCGTGAAGGAGCTCTCTAGTCCCTCCCTCCTGCCCTGGGCGCACGGCCCAGCTTCTCTGCAGTCAGGGACCCGTGCTTTCGTTTGTTAACCACCTTGGTTTTTCATGTTATGTTTTAAAATCTGCCCCAAGTCCTCAGTGTGGGCCGAAGCATTGTCTTCACTGCCCTCACAGCTCTGTCTCACGCTCGTTAGGGCTCGAGTCGGGAATTTGCTTTGGAGAAGGGCACGAGGTGAGGGTCTGGCTTTTATTCTACATCAATTAGCCAGTTAGCTTCTCATAATTCAGTGAATGGTCTGTCCTTTCTTCACTGACTTGAAATTTCCTCTCATTTCTACGTGGGTCTTCTCATTCCTTCAGCGAGTTTATTCAGCACCTGCCGTGTTCTACGCGCTGCTGGAGGGAGCCGGGCCCTGCTAGGGAGCAGACTGACGGGCCTGGGGAAGCTCCCGCTAATGCTCAGAGGATCTGTTTTCGATTGCTCTGCCAACACCAGACTTTCAGCTTCATGTTTTCTTATTGGAGCAAAGCCCTGCTTTCATTCTTTCTAATAGTGCCTGGCTCTCATGCGAGTTTCTTGCACGTGAATTTCAGAATCAGCTCATTACTGGGACAGTCCCAGGACTCACACTGGGGTCACCGTTGGCTCCACGTCACTTGCAGTAGGTTGAACTCTGCAGCGTTGAGGTCCATCCATTGGTGGCTCTTTCTGTGGAATCACATTCACCCCGTCCCTCAGGCGCCTGCACAGTCCATGCCCACGGCCACGCCTGCGAGTGCGGGACCTGTGGCGTGGGTCGGGCACAGCTTCCTGGCTGCAGGGTGTGCAGCAGACAGTGATGAGCAGGCATGCTGAGGGCCAGACCGTGACCACGTGGGGGTTGGGGAGGTGGGGGTTAGGCAAAGTTGCGTGAGCAGCCCCTTCCCCGTGGCAAGAGCCCTGGGACTCCTTGTGCAACATGCCCACTGCCCTCCAGTGAGGGCGTGTCCCAGAGCTCGGCTTTCTGCCTCCAATCTCTGGCTTACGTCTCCGGGTTTGTTGGGAGGATTGAAGGAGCAACCCCTCTTTCAAAACTGCCTTAATTAAGTAAGCAAATGCCTTCCTTACAGAGTGAGAGCTTCTCCGTTCACAAAGCCTTTCCATGGGGTGTGCACACGGCCCTTCTCCCCTGGAGCCGAGAGGGCTGTGGTGGGACCACGTGGACAGAGCCCCAGGGCCCTCTGCGGAGAAGCCAGAGCAGGGACACTGAGGCCTTCTTGGGCTGGGCAGCGTTGTGCTGGTCCCCGGGGCTGCTGGCTGAGGGTGACCGAGCAGACTGCTGCCCGAAGCCGGGGTCCCTCCCACCACTTCCCATGGCTCTTCTTGTGGGTCTCATCTCCCATCTTTCTCCCTCCTCGGCACCCACCCTTGTCCACACCCTGACTGCCCCCTGCCCACCAGCCTTCAGACAGCGCTTGGTTCCCACCCTCTCCCAGCAGCGAGTTTTCCTGGGAAAAGTGGAGGGTCTGGACGACGTGTCCACAGGGGAGAGCCGGGGAGCAGGAGGAGAAGCAAGACCCAGGAAACCTGAGAAAGTGGTGTGAGTTGCGAGCAGGGCCCATCCCAGCCTGACCTCCAAGATTCTGTTGTTTGTTGGCTCTGGGGCCACACGTCTGGCTCCGGGCTCTGGAGGGTTGGTTGGGGCCAGGGGCCAGGAGGGTTACGGCTCCAGCTTTGCCACAGGGCTCCCCGCACTCTGAGCCTCGCCAGCCGCACCTGGGAAGGTGGTCCCTGCCCTCAGAGCCCAGTGAGGATTAGGTTAGTGGAACCAAGAGCTGGTGCCGAGGGTGGGGCTT